ACTCATGTTAACAGGTACAAAAATACTATGAATTTAAAACAAAACCAGCTGTGGAACTGTTGTCATGTGTACAGCACTTTTTAGAGCACGCAGAATCACTTTGACTGAAGTGGCATAAAAACACTTGCAAACAAACAAGCAAACAAACGAAGAAAGCTGGTTTATTCAGCCTAGACTGGAGTGAGTCTCTTTGTCTCCCTCCCCTGCTCTCCTGGATGAAAAGAAAATAGCAGCTGAAACATGTGTGTCACTTTGCCTTATCAGGAACTGCAAGTGGATGTCCTGCAAGATAAGCTGTCAGATGAATACTGATATACTGCTGTTACATGGAGAGAGAAGAGAGAGATCAACTTAACAGAAGGTAGTGCTATAAGTAAGCTACTCTCCTTAGTGCTCATGATAGCACATGCTCAGATTAGAGTGTACATAGTACTATAGCTTTCTCATGATAAATTATAATTTCCCATTTTTGGTTCCATTACTGGACTTGGAAAACTAAAATCTTGGACATTAGGTACAGCGGAAAGATATATTTCATTATTGTACACACATTCAGTGCACAGAAGCCATTGATAAACACAGTAAATGAGAATGCATGTATGTACATTTGCCAAATGGTCCTGTGTAGTTGATGAGCACAGATAACCTTGCTTCCAGATCCAGTTATTTTCAAACTCTTTAATATTGTAAAAAATAAAATAAGTGGTCAATCATTGCAAGTATTTTTGAAACAGAGAAGTTTGGGGTTTCCATCTGCTTTTGATTACAATTCAAGATAACACGAATCAAAATTTAGAATGTATCTAGAAAGTTGTACATCGGAATTTTTCAGAGCAGTGAAAAATCAGCAGACTGGAATTTGGATGTCTGAAGTAATCCTCTGAGCAGTGTAGTAATTGTTACAAAAGCTAGTGTAACTATATTCACAGTGTATATATACGCACTGTGTGTAACGCACTGTGTACACAAAGAGTATGCACAGTGTATAATGCAGTGCAGTATATAAATACAATCCCCCCCTTTCTGCATACTTTCTTCACGTAGGATCTGATCTGAATGCTGGCATAGTCTAACAGTCCTCTGGATTCCCTTGCAAGGGAACCCAAAAGAAAGGAAATCGCACAATTAACAAAAGCCACATTGAAAAAAATAAATAAATTACATCTTGGGCATCAGGTCCAGGAGGTGTCAATTATCAGATAACCTTTTCAGTCAGTTTTACCACTGGATGAGGCAATTCTGTTGATCTGTCATAAACTCATTATTAGTGTATAAAGCCTAAAGTGATTTGAAAATGAGAAGTTTGTTTATACTCACATAGCATCAAGCATTTTATTATTAAGATGTTGCTTAAAAAGATTTGATCTAGTTGAGAAGCTGCCAGATTAGAACGTGATTCTGGACAAGAGTTAATTGTCTGTTTCCCAGTGAAAACTCCGATCCTATTGGATTATGATATGCAAAGAGGAGGTACTTTTAACTAAATACATACTTAGCTTAGACTTGGCAAGAATTACCTGTAACTAGATGCCAATTTTACCAAAAAAGCTAAATAATGATGTGAATTTCTAAATTCACCCGGAATTTACATCTGCTCCATATGCTGGCAACCCATTTCCCACTAAAAGTCTCCTGACCTAGAGCCTTCATTACATATGATACGATGCTCCCCTTGCCCAGTTAACATCTTTCCAATATCCAGCTTTCACGGGGTAGGGTTGCTTTTCCCAGTGGGCAGGGTTTCTTTGCCCTGTGTATCTCTGGCTCCAAGGGATCTGGGCATAAGGACCAGCTGCAGGATCAAAGCCTCCACTAAAGTTTATTGGCTATTTCTACACACATTGCTGTGATGGGGCAGGGGAACCTTCTCCATCTCTAAGTAACAATAATATCATTCACTGGAAAAAGAAAAGTACAGATTCAGGACCCATGGCCTCCGCTGTCACTTCGTTCCTAAAAAGCAAGAGAGGCATTTGTCCTTCAGCATGGAGAGGAGGACAGCTGGTCATAATCGGGACATTTAAGCAGAGCTGGGTAATTACTGTTCATCGGGAGAGAGGCATCGCTGGAGATGTCAGAAGGGCTGCGTCCCCGGACCCATGCCTCTGGGTGAAGGAACTGGCCTGAGTAATCGGAGCAGTTGCTAAGACGGGGTCGGTAGAAGCCGGAGTGTGGCCTGTACATCTCTTCAGCAGTGTATCTTTTCATGAACAGGTAAACAGACATGACACCCGCACTCTGGAAGAGAGAGAAAACCGAAGCAACGCCTGTGTCACTTGGCTGGCCCTTCTGGTGGGAAGATAGGGTGCAATGCACTACCAGTCCAAACAGACAAGGCAGCCATGAAATGAAACGTACACAAGCAGCTTTCTGTACCAGGAGTGCCATTTCTCACAATCTGGCATGATTACAGCTCTTCCCACTGAAAGGAGCAGATCTGTGGCAAACTTGCTGGTAGAACTACTTTGCAATTGAAGTATAATATCAACTACCACTTTATTTGCAATTGGCAGAAAAGCCATCAATCACTATCATGCCGGTCCATGCTTTGGTCTGACAAAGATATTCCTTTGCAGGTGTTCTAATCAATAAGCAGTTCTGAAACCCATGATGGCCTAGCAGGGCTAAGGGATGCATACAGAGACAAAGCTTTTCCTTGGGCTTCCAATTCAAGGCCTTTGCGGGTAGGTGAGAATCAAGGCAACCCCACTGGATAGGTAAGAGGGAAAATACTGTAAGAGGAGTCTGCTTTCAAGAAGACAAAATAATTGATCTGTTCCTCTTTTTTCTCTTATGAGTAATATTCTCCCAAACTGTCCTTTCCTGCTTGCATTCAGCTTCAATAATCACTCCTTAATTTGTCTCAACCCATTCTAGGCATGGTGGGATTATGAGCTGCACCTTCAGAAGAAGATTCCCCAAACAATTCTTCTCCATATAAGAGGGAGACCCAATACATTAGCAGCTTGCCTCTCCTTCAAAAGATAATCATAAGGGAACAAAATCTCACTTGTTCTAACAGAGGAATCAAGTTGAAGTAATCAGAACCTGAAACCACGGTGTTCAGGAAAACTAGGATAAATTGCTCAGATGGAATAGAGTTTATATCAACTGAACAGATAAATACAGGAAACTAGGCACAACACAATTAGTTCCTGGCACTAATGATAAAGCAACATTTGTTACTTTAGCTCAATTTACTAATTTGTCTACTGCCTGATCCCTTTTGTTCTACAAGTCTTCACTTGGGGAAAATGCTTTTTCTCCAGTATCATTTGCAAATCTTTTTCCAGTATGGATCACACGAGTACTGAAAATGCGCTAATGTATTGTATCACAAAACAATATCGAAGAGGTACTAATGAACTGTTATAAGCAGATAACTGAACAAATATTTAAGACAGGGCTGTGATATACCTAATTGGACTGAATATTCGTTAGAGTTCAAAATGAATTTCTAAAAATACTTCACAGTGTGGCACATGTATGAACTTCACAATTTTGACTCTGATGTTAGTAAGGTCATAATGATAGGGCATGTGGCAGACTGGGTGGAAGGTAAGAGAAATTCAGCAGTAAAGGTAATTTACCTTATTTTAGAGCAAGATAATACCTATTACTATCAAAATTGTTTTCACAGCTATTAAGTCCAGGGTCTAAACTGACCCAAGATATACTAAATGTTAGAATCAGGATTTAACTATTTTATCTATTACAAATGGCAGACCTCTCACATGTAACCTCCAACTCCTCGAATTCCCCAGCTAGCATGGCTGTTGCTGAAAATTATGGGAGTTGTTGATCCAACATGGACATCAAGAAGGTGCTCAGATGGGGGAAGACTGCTGTAATGGAATTATTTTGTTATTGGTTTAAATAAAGAGCCATCAAAGAGTGGCACAATGTGATTGTTATGGAATACAGGGGCACTGCCAGTCCTCTCGGCCACTGGCTACTTGCCCTCTTTGCCTCCAAATCAATATACTGAAAAGATAGCAGACTTATGTTGTCAAGTTTATGATCAGATGACAACAGTATGCATTTCCCATAGTGTGTCCAATGAGTTCATCCTAGCAGTCTTACCTCAGTTAGAAGGAAAGAAATGGCAGAAAAAGCAAATGACCAGCCATATTTGTAAGTGAAGTATGTCTCCGAATCCTTGGTTCTATTGAGCATTTCATCATTGATGCTGGAGATGTACAATACGAGGCCCACCACCAGAGATAAACCTGGGAAGCAAAAGCTTTTGGTCAAAATATACAAGAAGGAAAAACAGCCTATTGCAGAGAATCAAAGCAACAATTCAACTTGCTCTAGGAGAAGCACAGGAAACCCATGACCTCTCCAATTGCTGTAGGAGAAACTTCCCCACTCTGGTTCCTTCTAGAATAGCATTTCCCCACCACAACAATGTCCAGGTGTGTCGACTTCAAGTCCCAGAATTCTCAAGGGCCATGCTGGCTGTGGAACTCTGGGATCTGAAGTCCACATATCTAGAAATTGCCAAGATTGGGAAACACTGTAGAATTATTGGAGATTACCTCCCAGATGACCATCCTGGGACTGGGGGTTGAGAGATGTAAAGTCCACACTTCTGATGGGCACAGAATTGGAGAAAGGTGTTAAAGGACTGCAACTGTCCTCATCTCTACTCCTGGAGGTGAAAGGGAATTAAAGTCCAAGAACATCTAGAAGACCATAGATTTCCCAGTTTGTTGTAAGAGGCTTTGCAACAGAAGTCTGGATAGGGGAGAGCCATTATGCCAAAGTTGCATCTGTGATTACTCACTGAGATGAGGACCTAGTGCTGAATTAAGTGACAGATTTAAATTCTTAGATACTGATCTTCTGAACTACAAGTAATCCAACGTCAATAAAAGCTTTTAAGCTCTCCAGCCACAATTACTTGTTTCATACTCTCTTGATGCTATCAATAAAATATGGGCTTTTCCTCTCAAATGGAGACATGCTTCCAGCAATCTTTTTAGTTCAAGCCCCCTACATTAATTCCATTCACCATTGTGTCACAGATTAAAGAAAGTTTGTCTAGAGCTACATGGAATTGAAATTTAACCAAGATTGCAATTGTGAGCAAAATATGGGCTTTCATTGCAGATTTTGCTTTAAGAACGTCCTTTTATATCCTGCCCTATAAGTTCATAAATAAAATGTCTCATTATATTTATTTATAATATTAAAATATCCTATCTCCCTAATCTTGCTAAGCTAAAGGAGCTTCCATATTGTATTTTATTTTGCCTCATGTATTTACAGTAGATCTTTATTCCAAATATTTCAATTGAATTACACTCAGAAATGATTTTATCAGAAATAATATGTTATTTATTATTTTTTTAAAAAACAGCCATTGTAATGACGTACAGAATGTCTCATTATGTATTGGCTGTTGCAAGAATAAAACAAAAGTGTGACAGAGTAGCTCTAAACTGTCATGGTAACATCCAGTTTAATGAAAATTTTAGCTACACAGTTTCTTTCATCTGGTTTTGGTTTTATTTACTATATTTATGGGCATATTATATTTTGAAATTCTACTTGATATCCACTGTGATGTATCTTTGTAATGGGCTTTGACACTATGAAAAAGAGTTTCATTTACTGACTATATGATTGATATATCACTCAGGACAAAAATTATCTGGTTGGTTTACATGCAAAATTTAAAGCACTTTCAGAGAAGCAAGCTTAAATAAATAGGCAAGTTTTCATCATGTTGCTATCACGGAGTGTTTGGGCATTAGCTGCCTCATATAATGAGCATATACCCATCCTCTTATGTTTCTTGGGCATTCTTATAATTAACCATAAATCCCTGTAGTTTTTTTTTTTTTTAATTTGGGGTTGAATGGAATTGATTGATTGATTCTGTTTCTTTTCTGCTTTTCCTCCAAGCAACTCAGAGTGATGAGAATAATCCTTTCTGTCTCTGTTTCAACCTTCTGTGGCAGCCTAAGGTGAGAAATAGCCTCTAACTCAAAATCACCCAATGCCATTTTTTTAAAAAATATACTACAGTCACTGGCCAGAATTCTAGAAGAAAACAATGAATTACAGTAATTAAACAGTTTCTAATTCAAATAAAATAAGGCAACATAAAACTGTAGCTAGGTCATTGAGGCGACCAGGGCATGTCTAGTTTTACAGATAGTATAACAAAAGCTAACCATATTCAAACAAAGAAAATCCTACTGTTCTGATAAAAGTAATTGTACATACAATAAAATTGTCTGGGTAAGTCACCAGATTGGAAGTTATCAAGCAGGCCCTTGTATCCCAACCAGTGGCTATGTTCTCATGACATGTTTATTCCAGGTCAGCTGAGCTGTATTATCCTCAATCCTAATGGCCTGAGTTTGTGCAGCCTGCAAGGCTAAAAAGTATTTGGCTAACTTCTGGTTGAATCTCTCAGGCAAAGGCAGTGTGAGTTTCTTAACAATATGGTGGATTTAAACTTGGGTCTCCTCAATCGTAGTCTTGCCCCTCTGCCATTATATCTCACTGGCCCTCTGTTGCTTAAATACTGGTAACTAAGCTATTGCACAACTATGGCATCCTGTTCCAGTGAAGAGAGGCAGACTGTCACAGAACAAGGAAAAGCTAAATTCCACACATGTTGATATTCCAAATTATTGCCCATTTTATCTTGCTTCTCAGATGCATGCCCAAGGGGCTTGAGTTCAAATGTGCCTTCTGACAAATGTTTTGAAAAAAAATACACTGCTGTCTTAAAACTCACCAGACAAAATAAAGAAGATTCCAGACACGAAGGCCAAGATGGTTCTGTGTGGCCGGATATGCCCAATGTTGCTCAAGATGAACCCAATGAACATGAAAAAGAGACTGACCAGCGGAAATGGTGTGGCAGAACGAATCATTTCTATAAAAGTCATAAGTGAGAAAGAATCTCAGCCTCCTTGGATCAAAATAAAATCACAAGTAGAAAGAATATTCTTTGCACTTATAATTCATTAATTTTCCAGTATTATTTTAGCGTTGTCTATTCTATGCAGTTTGTAGCAACCCTTAAAACTTCAGGATCACCTCAAATATGTAAGTATATTCTTATCTGGTCTTTTTGAAACAAGTGAAATGGGTGAGACAAATGTCAGGGGAAGGGGTCCCCCACATCGCTACAAAAATATACAGAGACATGCACAGAACGCCTCTTTGTAGAAAGAATATCTCTGCTTTCAATGAATTTTACACCATTTCTTTTACAAGTTTTTTTTTGGTTTATGGTTCTTTTAATGTAAGTCCACTTGAAAAGCTAAGGCTGCAATGCTCTGGCCCTGGGAATAGCAAGGAGATCTCAAGAGCCGCAGGATTAGCCCTGTGGAGGTGATGTATGTGTAACCTTTTGGACCACTGAACTACTCTTTGGACAATGTGCATCAGTAGAGAACAAGGTCTACTACCAGAAGGCTTGTCAATCCAGGCTCACCTCCATTGCAGCTGCTGGGAGCTGAAAAAGAGGCAATGCTTGAGAGTAGCGGTGAAGGTGCAGGATTTAGAACCATACTGTCCTAACTCTCAGAAAGAGAGGCCTTAGGACCTTACTCCAAGGAGAACAGGACTTCAATTTGTGATGGGGTAATGCCATATTGAATGGGGCAAATGATACCTTCATGGATTACTACTTATATTAAGCCTCAATGACAGCTTTATTGACCTTTCCATCCATGTAGGTGGGCCCTTCTCCCACAATACATTTTGGTTCCATTCACAGATTTCCTCCCAAATTTACCTAACCACATTTGTGATAGGGAAGTTTCCTTCCTTTCTACTTTGCCTTTATTTTTCTTTTGTGGGGTAGAGAAGGATTTGAAAAACTGTCTGCAAGAAGCAGCTATCAGGGCTCTGGGTTGTCTATGGTATCATTTCTGTAGAGGCAACCTGATCTCCTCCAGGTGTTTTGGATGTCAACTCCTCCAGTGGTCAGGGATGGTGGGGTTTGCAGTCCAAAACATCTACAAGTCATGAGGTTGCCTACTCCCTTCTTGTTACTTGCATGAAAGTTGACTAAGGTAACATTGTATGTTCTGTCCACGTCATCCATTGCCTGGGTCCTCCTCCCAGGCTGTCACTGGTGATCACTACCATACTTGATGAATGATGGCAAGGTTGCCATGGACACTAAGAGAATCTTACTGTGTTATCTCTTATTTGAAATAGTAACCTTTTGCTATTGGTTTACTGCTTGAGCAATATCAGATTACAGCAGCATTACATTGGTATAAGCAGTGGCCCAGTGGAATGAGATAGCTGGAACAGCTCTCTCCTTTTCTCTCTCAACAAGCACTTACATACCCCAGAGCTACCTTCAAAGAAAACAATCAATTGAAAACAAAGCAACAGCCAGGCGTTCCTCCATTCTCCCCACAGCTACTGACGCAGCTGTTTGTTCAAGTAGCACTACCAGGCTGGGTTGCAAAAATCTGGACAATGACTTGATGGCACCAAAATGTTAGGGTTTCCTTCATCTCTTTGGCACCATCTAGTGGCTATGTGTATTCTGCAGCCCAGATCTGATAGCCCAAATTAAGGTTCTTATCTCTTCCCTAGATAAGGACACATAAACATAATTCTTCCCAGCCCCACACAACAGGAAGCACCTACTTAAAACATTGATAGTTGATTCAGAGGTCAGCTGGACATTCATGGGCATGACATACTCTATTGTGAAACACCTCCCATGTTCTTCACCTGCAAGAGGAGAAATCTTAGAGACATGAATTGCTTTCATTTCACACCCAGAAACTTTATTCAAAACCAATAGCTTTAAAGGTTTTAAATCAATTGTTCTCCTTCCCAGTATTGATCAACTGAGTTCCTAAACTTCCAAAGATTTAAGGCCAGTCCATGTGAACAATTGTAAAAATGGCATGAGTAAATAGCCAATACAGAGGATCTAGTATGCATTGAGTGCAAGGATAGGAGGCCTTGAATTGTTTCTCTGTCCCATCATGGTCCTAAACTATGATTTATTTCCCACGAACACATACATATGTAAACTTGCACTGAAAGAAAATCCTCCATTGGTCTCAACAAGAGCTTTGCTTAGAGAGCAAATTGCAGGCGTGAGCTTCCTGTCCACACCCCGGAGGAAGCAAAATAATTAAACTCTCTCCTCTCCATAAGAGTTCTAATCCAAATAAGTCCCCTACATCTGCTACTTACTTTTAAAAAGTAATTCACACATTCACACAAATGCTAACTGCACAGATTGGGTCTCCAAAAACCTGCCACTTAAACACAGGCCTCGTAAAGCATCATAAGCAGAAGAACAAGATTTGTACAGACACGGTTCAGATTCATGTAAGTTCTGTGACTGTGACATTATTGTTGTTTGATCTTTCTAATTACATATAATAAATGTAAGGTAAGGACACGGTATCACTTCATTGTTCTTGGGTTTCTGGTTTGACTGTGGGAAATTAGCTATTGAAAGGATCTGGAATGTCAGTCACCTACCTGGGTAACTCATTTAGTCTGGACTATTCCTACCATTCATTGTAGAACCGGAATTCTTAAGATAGCAAAGGTCTAGAGAAGATTCAGGGCTTATTACACTTTCCAGAGTTCTGGTCCTGGTGTTCTTATTAGGAGCTGTTCCCTCCTCTTAAGTACATTCTTTCTCATAACTAGACCTTTCTGGATGGGCTTTCTAGTAGATAGATGGGTGTTCATGCCATGATTCTATCTCCATCTATGTATACATACATTGGGTGTCAGATTTAATTCATTCCAAACCTTTTAATGGAAAGGGTTCCCCATCTTTAAAATAAGCTTTTTCCCCCCTAAAAGCACTGAAAATAAAAACAGTGAGGTAATGTGCACATGCATTAAACAACATAACTATTTCATAACCATTCATATAAATTAAATCATAAGGGAACATTAACGGGATTTCCTAATACTTTCAATAAGGCGTGAGGAGAAGAGGCATGAGGAAAGACGGATTTACTTTTGCCCAAAGCACTATACCTGCCAAAAAGCAAACCCTCCAGAGGCCAGAATGCAGAGACATCTTGATTTCAGTACTTTGGTTTTGGGGCAGGATGATCCCTTCCTCCAGATACAGCCAGTAGTCAGTGCTCACCGCAATCCCCAGAAGCCCCAGTCCGCTCACGGCAAACACACTGCTGAGCAAAGTCAGCGCCTTCCTGCCACAGGTGCTCATTCCCCAAAGCATCAGGGTAGGATGGGGCACCAGAGAATTCCTGCACGGACAAAGACATCTGTCATCAGTAACTACAAACGCTTCTTCTCTGTGGAACAAAACCGCATGTACTCACCTTCTCTCTTGTACACACATTGAGCAGATACATCATGCTCTAATAAGCTAGGGCTACAATCACAAGATGGAAGCAAAGATGTAGGGGTTTTTTTCATACTTCTTTCCTGTCATCTAGTGGTAATTTGGATCTTTTTAGCCCAGATAGAGTTGGCACATAAGAAGCTGAAAATCCACATTGCACGCCATGGTCATAGTCCTTCAGACTTGGACGTGGAAGACATTCCTCGAGTCCTTGAGAACACACTGAGTCCTAGGCCTGTTATTTAACTTCCAGTCAATTAAGTCTCTTTTGGCACTGGTTCAATTCAGGGACCAGCACAGTGAGAGTGGCCGCTCAGCCACGTGCAACGTGCAATCTGTGAAATGTTTCCTTTTCCTTCTGCCAACAGATTTAAATATCCCAAAGAGGAACTGGCCATGTACTGCTACAGAACAAATAATTGGATGTGATATTGCAGTTTTACTTAATTATTATGTATTTTCTACAGTTTAGACCACAAAGGGCCAGAAGTGTTTCCCATCAAAAACGTTTGACTTGATTGCTCCAGGATAGAAATACAATTAATTAAATAAATAAATATTAAAATGAGGGCAGATATAATACAGAACTCATATCAAATCAAAAAGTCCTAGTCAGGGCTCAAGGTTTTTAAAACCACATACCTTCATATGGACAAAATATCTCTCAAGACATAAACCCCCAAAGCTGGGAGTATAACTTGGGAGTGATAAAGAGTTGTACAATGTGATAAATCACCAATAAGCGTGGCAACTTGCTGTCAGCTGAATGTTACTTGGAATGCGCCTTTATCTCTCCATCCTAACCCTTCCTTTTGGCTCATCCAGTTGTTTCTGGTCTGCTGGTGGCAACCCACTTTGAGTCTAGTGCATCTGAGAGAAGGCTAGCAGCAGCCGTGTATGAAAAACAACAGGCTGACATTGAGAGGAATCATTCCTATTGTGCCATTACATCAACAGCAGGTCAGTTAAGCCAGATGCGACACAGAAATATTTGAAAAGTATGCTTGACTGATGGGGCATCCCTGCTAAGTCATTTTTAACTGTATTCCTAGGAACAGTGGAATCTTTGGGAGTAGATCAAGGGAGCCTCACCTGGGAGGCCAATGGCATACACTCTGGCCACCACTGCTGGGAGAAAGTTGGGTGCACTGTAAGCTGCTGAATGTCCCACCTGAATCTGGGACTTGTCCCACCAACCTAGGCATTGTTTCAACATACTTCAATCAATATGGAAAGATTTCCCTGGAAAAAGGATATTTGAAGATCCCCACTCTAGATGGGGGTGGATAACTTTTTTTCCAGCTAAGTGCTGTTCTGTGGCATGATGGGGGCTACACTGAAAAGGTGATGAGGCCATGGCTAAAAAGTGAATGAAGTCAATAAAAATGGGAGGGGGGAGTGTCTAGATAATAATCCCTTGAGCCCCAAATAATTTGAAACTGATCGCTTCCAAAGTGTTAAACGTGTACAGATGTCGAGAACAAGCACAACAGAATCACACTAAAACACTGGGGGAAAATCTGCCAATTTTCATCAAACCTGCATGGTTCCAAAAGCCACAAAACAGTAGGGGTGGGAGGTGGGGTGGCGGTTGTTCAAGTGCAGTCTACTCCTGGTCAGAATAAACTACAATTTCAGGCATAAATTAACCTTTGCAATAGCAGATAGGGCAGGGATTAACTCAAACTAGGTCATTTTTATATAAAGGGATATAAACCTTGAGAAGACAGTTGTAGAATGTAAACAATGGAAAATATAATACTATTGAAAATCAAAAGGAAATAAATTAAAACACCAAATTAAAAAACAACACCACCACACACATACTCAGAGAGGCAATGAAGGTTTCTTGACACTTTACAATAGCCAAGAGCTGTTCCACAAGTCAAAATTAATTCCATATGCACAGATGACAAAGTAGGTCAAAAACTTAATTTCATCACTCATTCACAACTCAAATTAAAGTTGACACCTGAAGTGAAGTGTCAATACAGTCATTAGAAACACAGTCTCCTTAAGAATGAATGGATGTATCAAATGGTTATAACATCAACTTAATGCTACAACAGGCTATAACAATGCAGTTTGTGATATCTTTCTGGAATGTAACCCAAAGACCATGACCCTTAGTGCCAGCAGATCCACAGGGAAATGTTATTTGATTAGCCCAGTAGCTACAGCAATTCTGGACTGTTTCCAGTGTGACTGGAAAGGAGAACAGGAATTGGAGCACTTCTAGGCCTTGTTTAGCCACCTTTCTAGCTTTCAAAAGGTTGATACCCTGATATGCTGTTATGTAAACAGGACGGAACAATAACTGTACAGAACAAAGAAGTATCTGCCAACTGATAAAACATGGGGTCACGCCTAACTAGAGATGTGATTTATTTTGAGAACACAGAGGAGGTGTCATTGAATGCTGCCAAACACTCTCATGTATGAAACTGATGAATTATGATGGCACCAAATCAATCCTTCATCTTCTAGGGCAGTGTTGTCCAAACTTGGCCACTTTAAGATGAGTGGACTTCAACTCCCAGA